TCCTTATTCCTTATTAGAATATACTCCTACTCCCCCCTCAGGCCGGCCATTAGGGGCCGCATCCGGGTGGTCCCATCCTAACCTGTAAAAAACAATACAAAATCAACATTTTTCTTAATTTTTCCTCTCGACATGGACGTCCTGTCGTCCACGGCGATAATCCATTGCAAAAAATACCACAAAGAGCACACGCGCGCGTTCATGTCAGAATCCTACCGAACACCGTGTGTTTGCAAGCATTTCAACATAAAAACATCAAAAACCCAATGCTTTTTCACAAAAATTGTACAAATTTCCCGCCCGGGCTCTCTTGCTGAAATCATAGGAAAACCATAGGAATCTTAAGAATTCGGTCAAATCCAGCGATTTCACGTCATCGCGCGGTGCACTCGCGATGCTCTGTCATGCACCCAGGCCGCGAATCCTGTGCAAAAAATACAACAAAGAGCACACTCGCGCGTTCATGTCAGAATCCTACCGAACACCGTGTGTTTGCAAGCATTTCAACATAAAAACATCAAAAACCCAATGCTTTTTCACAAAAATGCTTTGGGGTGTCCTGTCAGACCGTCGGGCTTCCTCCGGCCACCTCTGGCTTCCTGCGGTGTACCGGGCCATTCTCGACTCGTCTGGCAATGCGTGCGCGGCATTCAACACGCGCTCGCCAGTTCCCGTCGGCAACCGCCATCGCGGCCGCATCAGCTGTACCAAACCAGCTGGCCGGTGTGACTTCGGCCCCCAGTTGTGCCAGCTTTGCTTCTTATGTTGTGGGAGGGCGGGTGGGACTGGGCATGCCATGCTTGACTCGCTCGAGCTGGCTAGCTTGACTCCTACTCCTACTCCTACTCTTACTCCTACTACACCTACCCCTATTCCTGCTCCTACTCATCTTTACCACTATCAGCATCCTCAGCAGAAGCCCCAGCGGCATCATCATCCTCAACGCAATTCTGAGCAGCACCCTTAGCAACATCCTCCTCCTTCTCCTCCGCTTCCGCCGCTGCCCTCTCAGCCTCCGTCTTCGCCTCCGCCTCCACCTCCGCCTCCTCCTGCTCCTTGTACTGATCCTCATTTGATGGAGAAGGTTGCAAAAGAGAGCGCGCAGGATACAGGGGGGCAAGAAAGAGGCGGGAGAGGGGGAGGAGAGAAAAGAGGAGGATGTAGTACGACTACAAAGTTCCCGGCCGCCCCACGGCCTGGATGAACTGCATGAGCTCGCCTCGGAGCTGCGCTGCCGATCCACAATAGCTAGTGCTCACTTTGTTGAGGCCATAGCGCAGTGAGTGGAATCCGCCCTCTCGAGCCACCACAGAGACATTCCATTTGAAGTTGTTCCTCCTTTTCCTCGTCCTTCTCCTGCACTTCCGCCTCCTCCTCCTTCTCCTCCATTTCCTCCTCCTTTTCCTCCTCCTCCTCGTCCTCCTCTTCCGTATGTTCCTCCTCACCGTTCTCTTCCTCACATCATCGTCATCACCATCCTCATCAGCATCATCATCACCATCATCATCAGAATCGTCATCAGCATCAGCCTCATCATCACCACCGTCATCATCACCATCATCATCAGCAGCAGCAGAATCATCAGCATCAGCGTCAACATCAGCATCAGTACATAAACATCAGCATCAACATCCGCATCATCCGTATAAGCATCATCACCAACACAGTCGTCATCATCCACAGCATCAGCATGAACGTCACCGTCACCATCATCAGCAACATCATCAGATCCGTCATCATCACCATCAGCAGCAGCAGAAGCGGCATCCTCCTCACCTTTATATGCATCACCATCCTCATCATCAGCCCCAAAACAGCATCCTCTGATCCATCGATATTAGCATCATCATCATCATCGTCAGCATCTGCCCACCAGTATCATCATCATCACCATCGTCGTCGTCGTCGTCACCAGCTACCTCACCATCATCATCAGTATCGTCATCATCATCTTCGTCGTTAACAGCATGATCAGCATTATCAGCATAATTTCCGCATCGTCATCATCATCACCACCACCTTCATCGCCATTGCCATCATCATCGGCAACGTCATCATAAAAAGGACGACGAAAAGTACAGCCACCGTTATCACCACCATTATCACCATCCCCCGCCGCATCATCAGCAGAATCCGTATATTCATCACGATGGTCATCAGCATCAGCACCATCATCGTCATCATATGCAGCATGATCACAAGCAGCAGCACCAGCATCGCCCTCATCATCATCATCATCATCATCATCATCATCAGCAACAGCAGCAACACAACCATCATCACTATTGCCTGCACCATCACCAACAGCGGCACCAAGGGAATCAGCATCATCAACATCATTATCATCGCCATCATCGCCATCATCATCGCCATCATCATCATCAGCATCATCAGCCCCAACATCAAAATCCGCACCACCATCATATCAGCACCACTATGACCATGGTCGACAGCCGCAACAGCATCAACATCAACAGCAACATCAACATCACCATGAACAGCAACACCACCAACAACATCAACATCACCATCACTGTCGCCATCACGATCACGATCATCATCATCATCATCATCATCATCATCATCATCATCATCATCATCATCATCATCATCATCATCATCATGGGAATGGGAATGGGACTCTGGGGGCGTCAACAGAACAACCAGAAAGTAAAACTACAAAAACTGGCAGTTGCCCGTGAAGACCTCGAATTTGGTGCCACTCTGCCCTGGGGGCCTACGGAAGGAGCGCGTGGCCCCAGACGCTGGGGACGGGGGCCCACCGACGATTCGCGGCGCCTCGTTGGCAGGGGGGCCCGAGGGCCACGACGGACGGCGCGCCGCTGGATGCCCCAAGGGGGGGAGCCGGACCCCCGCCCCCCCTCCCCCCCCTTTTCCGGGTCCGTCGTCGGCAGACACCCCCCCTCCTTTTCCCGATCCGTCGCCCCGGACCTCCCCCCCTCCCCCCCTTCCATCAGGGGGGGGGAGCGCGGTGCGGACCCACCCCCTTGGCACTCGAAAATCACAGGCCCCCCCTCTTTGGCAACGCCGCCCCCCCCTCCGGAACCCGAACCCTACCGCCCTACAACCTTAAACCCAAACCCTGAACCCGGACGCCCCAGCCCTGACACCCAAACCCTACCACCTCAACCCTAGCCTATCCCTAACCCCATACCGTAATCCCTAACCCCATAACACTAACCCTTGACTCAAACCCCCCACCCTAACCCTAACCTTAACCTTAACCCCATAACCCTAAACGAAACCTTAACCCCTACCCTAGCCCCAACCCAACCCCCCAACCCTAAACCCAACCCCCCACCCTATCCCCCAAACCCGAACACCCCTACGAACTAAAAGCCCACAAAGATTCAAGCCCCGAGGTCCCTTACGGACCCCCCTTAAGCCGCCCCTTCGGCGCCCCCCACTTTCCCTCGACAAAAAAATACGGCGTTGTGCCCATGCGGGCGGAATCCCATGCGAAAAATACGGTTCCCACGCATGCGGCCCGAATCCCCCGCACCCGACGCGGGGCCCCTCCTCGCTCGGCCGCCGCCTCCGCCGCGCCAACAGCAGAGTCGGAAAGCCGTCGCGCGTTTGCGAATCACGGCGGCGCGAACCAGGGAGCAGCGCTGTGCCAGAGTCACGCGAGCAGCCCGCCCAGAGCCCAAATGGATACGCACGCAAGACAGGCGGGGGGCGGAGTCTCTCATAGCCCCCCCTGCTGGGGGCCATGAAAAACTCCGCCCCCCGCCAGCACGTCAATGCGTCGGCACATCGCCAATGCGTGGGCAACCTGCCGTGGCGCTTCGATCCCACGCCACATCGCCGCTGCATCGGGTTGAAGACCTGCGCAAGCACTGTGCATGACGCATCGCACTGACGTCCTCGGCGCGTTCAGTTCTGCATGCAATGGATCATGAGTGGGTGGGATACGTCAAGCGGGCTTCGAATAGAGCCTAGTGGCTTCACCCCTAAACCTTAAGCCCCAAACCGAACCCCAATCCCATACCCGGACCCTAACAACTAAACGCCCATAGATATTTAAACCCTGAGATCCCTCGAGCCGCCCCTTCACCCGCCCCATATATCCACCCCCACTGCACCTTATGAAAAAGACTGCCGCCTACCCTTGCGGCCCCCACTCCGCGCAACACAAAAAAACAATATTCCATATTTCATTCATAAAGGGATTACCAAAAATTAGCCTGGCGAAAGACCCAAACATATGCAGTTGTGAATACCGCAATTGTGAATACCATCTTCGCCCGCGCTCCCTATGTGGCCACGGCTTCCCGCCGGAGCCCGACATGCTCACGAACACGCTCGTGGCCGTCTTCGCGGGCGCCGACGACGACAAGGATGGCGTCCATCTGACCGAGGAGCAGAAGCAGGAGAGAGCTTTAAGAGCCATGAGGGAGGAGGTGTCGGTGCACGTCGAGAAGGCGGAGTACGACGCCCGGGCGCGGTTGTTGAAGCAGAACAACTATGGGGCCACGATCCTCGTGAGGGGTGTGCCGAAATGGCCCAGGGCCGCCGTGGGAACCCTGCCACTGGGGGCCTTCGGTGGAGCTCCCTATGGGGCCACGATCCTCGTGAGGGGTGTGCCGGAATGGCCCGGGGCCGCCGGGCGAACCCTGCCACTGGGGGCCTTCGGGTGAACATTAAGCAAAAAAAGAAAAAAGAATAATAACAGCAAGACAAGAAAAAAAAGAACGAAAACAAGAAATCCCAAAAAAGAAAACGAAAAAATAAAGAAGGAAAAAGAAAAAATCAAAAAAAAAAAAAGAAGAATAAGCTCCCTATGGGGCCACGATCCTCGTGAGGGGTGTGCCGACATGGCCCGAGGCCGCCATGCGAACCCTGCCTCTGGCGCCTTCGGTGGAGCTCCCTATGTGGCCACGATACTCGCGAGGGGTGTGCCGACATGGCCCGAGGCCGCCATGCGAACCCTGCAACTGGTGCCTTCGGTGGAGCTCCCTATGGGGCCACGATCCTCGTGAGGGGTGTGCCGGAATGGCCTGAGGCCGCCATGGGAACCCTGTCACTGGGACCTTCGGTGGAGCTCCTATGGGGCCACGATCCTCGTGAGGGGTGTGCCGAAATGGCCCGAGGCCGCCATGCGCACTTTGCTACTGGCGCCTTCGGTGGAGCTCCTATGGAGCCACGATCCTCGTGAGGGGTGGGTGTGCCGAAATGGCCCGAGGCCGCCATGCGCACTTTGCTACTGGCGCCTTCGGTGAAGCTCCTTGATCCTCGTGAGGGGTGTGCCGAAATGGCCCGAGGCCGCCATGCGCACTTTGCTACTGGCGCCTTCGGTGGAGCTCCTATGGGGCCACGATCCTCGTGAGGGGCGTGCCGAATGGCCCGAGGCCGCCATGCGCAATGTGCTACTGGCGCCTTCGGTGGAGCTCCTATGGGGCCACGATCCTCGTGAGGGGTGTGCCGAAATGGCCCGAGGCCGCCATGCGCACTTTGCTACTGGCGCCTTCGGTGGAGCTTCTATGGGGCCACGATCCTCGTGAGGGTTGTGCCAAAATCGCCCGAGCTCGCCGTGCGAACCCTGCCACTGGCGCCTTCGGTGGAGCTCCTATAGGGCCACGATCCTCGCGAGGGATGTGCCGAAATGGCCCGAGGCCGCCATGCGCACTTTGCTACTAGCGCCTTCGGTGAAGCTCCTATGGGGCCACGATCCTCGTGAGGGGTGTGCCGGAATGGCCCGAGGCCGCCATGCGCACTTTGCTACTGGCGCCTTCGGTGGAGCTCCCTATGGGGCCACGATCCTCGTGAGGGGTGTGCCGAAATGGCCCGAGGCCGCCATGCGTGCTTTGCTACTGGCGCCTTCGGTGGAGCTCCTATGGGGCCACGATCCTCGTGAGGGTAGTGCCGGAATGGCCCGAGGCCGCCATGCGAACCCTGCCACTGGCGCCTTCGGTGGAGCTCCTATGGGGCCACGATCCTCGTGAGGGTGATGATGATGATGATGATGCTGCTGCTGCTGCTGCTGCTGCTGCTGCTGCTGCTGCTGATGATGATGATGATGATGATGATGATGATGATGATGATGATGATGATGATGATGATGATGATGATGATGATGATGATGATAACGATGATGCGAGGAGGAGGGAGGGGGCAGCGGGAGGAGGAAGGAACGCGGGGCGCTGTCTTTTCAAAACGAGGACCCGACACCACAGGATGGTTGGGAAATAGAAGAGGCCCGCGCACGCGGCCAGACCCGCTTGCAAAAAATCAACCGCGGACCACGGGGGCGCCTCCAACTCGCGCGATCCCT